ATTATGATATTTGAAAAAGCAGCACAAGCATTGATAAAAAAAACCATGCTCCACATTAACAATTGATGAAGGCTTTATTGATCCATCTATAATTCCACCAACCATTGATCAACTAAGAGGACAAAAAAAAAAATCTTTCAGATTTATTTTTAACAAAGAGGAGCACAAATGTCTACAATTGCTTTCAAAATATTTGAAGATGTTTGACCTTCACTACCACCACCACCACCACAAACGCCAACTGCGACAACAATAGATCCAAAAACAACATATCCAAAAAGATTGATCGCCGGGTAAGATATATTTACAAATTCGTATCAATCATTAATAAATATCAAAATTTAATATTTTATACACATATCTTAACAACCCTTCATCATTTCAGTTTTGAACTATAAAACAACATACCTGTCTAGAAAAACTGCGGAAGAACTAAGTAATATAACTACTTCTAAATCCTTTAATTTAAACTATATATAATTAAAGTTTTTTAAACCTCCCTAATCATTATCACTAATATTTTAAAAAAAATTGTATTTTGCAATTACGAAGAAAAAAAAAGAAAACAAAAAATGTAACATTGTAAGAAACTTTTCATTAGAATTTTATATAAATATGTCTATATGTACATATGTATATATAAATTAATACTGCACCATAAAAAGTTCAAACTTTATGTATAATATAACAATATTTCACGCAACAACGCGTGGGCACATGACTAGTTTATTCTAAATTAAAATGTTTTCAGTTTTTTTGGCACTTGGCAGATAGCCAAGAACTTGAAAACAAAATAAGAAAATAGTAGTGGTACGAGGTTCTCAAGACAAGTAAGCAGATAATTATTAAATGATATTATAACAAATTAACAATGTGTTTTTTTGAGAATGTTTGAGACACTTAGCTAGTAATTAACTTCTCCTCTATTTCATAGCAGATTAATTGTCACACACAAAAATTGACATCTTTTTTTTTTTTTTTGTTATTTTTTTACCTATAGGCCATAGAAGGCCATCTATTAATCTTGTCATTGTTTGACAAAAATATTATTTGCGTTTGGAACTCGTTTCAAAATGATTTTATTTTCTGTATACAAATAAAAATGAAAACATTTTCATTTCTATTTTAGAATTATTTCTAAAAATGTGTTTAGTAGTTTTATTCAGAGATTATTTTCAGTTTAAAAAAAAAATTAAAACTGCGTTTAGTGGTTTCAATTTTAAAAACATGTAATAATATTTAAAATAATAATAACTCTCTCTAGAAGTAAGCTTTTTGAATGATTCAAAATCCTACATGACCCATAACAAGTCTAGTTCATGCCCACAGTTTCCCAAAATTTGGATCTAATAATTTTAGAAAAATAAAAATACAAAGACAAGTCATATTGAAAATCTTAGAATAAGTTCCAGCCACACAGTAACATTTCAAAACTTTGATAAAATCATCTACTCATCTATTAAGGTCACTTTAGTCTCCATAAAAAGCTTATTAAAGATACTAAAACATATAAAAAATCCAGATTTATCAACATGCCATAACTTATTTAAAAGTTATAGTGTTAAATTAAGTTAACCCTTTTATCAAACAGCCTTCGTGCAAATATGATTTCTAATATATTAAACATGATAAAAATGTGAAACCTAACTATACCCATTCCTTATTAGACAAGAGAAGAAGATTAAACAACAAAATAAGCACTTAATGACATAAACTCGGATTACCACCAAGATCTACACAAAGACCTCTAGGGTGCGTTTGGAATTAGTTCTAAAATGTTTTTGTTTTCTATATGAAAATAGAAATGAAAACGTTTTCATTTTCATTTTGAAATTATTTCTGAAATGCGTTTGGTAGTTTTATTCAGATATTGATTTTAGTTTTAAAAAAAAACTGAAACTGCGTTTGGTGGTTTAATTTTTAAAAACATGTAATAATATTTAAAATAATAATATATTAAATAAATAATATATTAAATAAATAATATTATTAATATATTAAATAATAATATTATTAATATATTAAATAATAATATATTAAATAAATATATTAAATAAACATCATTATATAAGACAAAAACGGTTTCAGAAAAGAGAGAAAAGAAAATGAAAAAAAAAAATGAAATCCGTTTTCAGAAAATGAAAACACATTTTTTTCGTTTTCAATTTTTCACAAAAGACAAACGATTTTGTTTTCGTTTTTAAAAAATTTTTAGGCCAAACGCATTTTATGTTTCCGTTTTCATTTTTTAGTTTCGAAAAACGTGAAAAATGGAAATGAAAACGGAAACAAACAGGGCCCTAAAATCTCAAATTTAGGAGTCAAAACATGATTTAAAAGCACACCTTCATTTATATAGACCTTAGGCTCCAAGATTTCTTTAAAACCTTGAGTTTTAATGGAGTTTTAGGGGCTTTCACTTGAGCCCTAATCCTAATTACGGGATTGGAGTTTTCAAAGGATTAGAGAGGAGAAAAGAAGGTTCGATTTCTGGTGTGGAAGAAAAAGAGAGAAAAAGTGGGTTTAAGAATATGAGAGAAGAGAGAGGGTGAAGGGCTGCATGAAAGAAGCGTACATGAGTGAGAAATTTCAGTCTCAGAATTGTGTCTAAGCTTGACCAGAAGACAAGACCGGAGAAGAGAACGGAGAAATTGAGGAAGAGATCGCGTGTGAGAAGTGAATTGCAAAAAAAAATTTCAGAGGAGAGAAAATGGAAATGGAAAAATGAAAACGAGTTTAGATCGTTTTCAGATTAGTGGTAATTTTTAAGAAAAATACAAAAACGATTTTGTTTTCATTTTTGGTACGGTGTTGAACCAAACACTATTTTTATGCCGTTTTCATTTTTCTCTCCTCGTTAAACGAGAAGAACGTTTTTGAAAAATAATTTTATTTTTTTATATGAAAATGAAAATGAAAACGTTTTCAATCTTAAACAGAAATCATTTTTGAAAATGCGTATTATTTTCAGTATAAAAAAATCTATTAATGTTTCTCTCTCTACTCGAGAGAGGAGAAAACATAAACAAAAAATGAAAAACGACTAATAGACGTTTTTCATTTATCTCTAATTTTACACTAAACTAAAAAATCGTTTTCATTTTCATTTTTTATCTTTAATTGTGTTTTCTCTCCCGTTTTTATCTTTTCTTTCTGAAAAAATGTGAAAAACAAAATAAAAAACAACTCCAAACATAGCCATTATGTTGTAGGTGGACCCTTTAAATACGTTGAAACTTCTTCTTCTGCTTCTTCTTCTTCTTTTTTATTTTTTATTTTGGTAATTAAGCTTTCAAATACGTTGAAACTTCTTTAAGTGCAGGTAACAACTTCCATTGTTTCTAACGTATTTGACCAACGGGTGAAAATTAAAGTTTTTTTTTTCTTTCCTTTTCTGAGAATAAATTAGAGTGTGTGTGTGTGTGTGTTTTTTTTTTTTTTTTTTTTTTTTTTTTTGTAGAATAAATTAAAGTGTTCTTGACCCTATATTTTCATTTTCATTTGTTTTTTGTTTGTGGGGTTTCATGCCGAAAATTATGAAATTAAAAGAATGTTCTTCTTCAAATTCAGATGAGTGACTTCTAACAACGCGGCCTTGGTCTTGGACAACCAATAACCAATTTTTCTCCTCAACGTGGTGGAAAAATTTTGGGCTTATTCTTTAGTTTAACTTGAGTATAATTTTTGAGTTGAATTTGAGTTATAACTTGAGTTGAACTTGTAACTTGAGTTTGTGTTTGGTTGTGTACATTTGAGTTATGGTTTAAGATAAGAATCTTTTTGAGTTTGTGTTTGAGTGAGTCAAAACTTGAATTTGTATTTAGATAGTATTTTAATAAAAATTCAATGTTGATGAAAATTTTTAATAGTATATATGGGTCGGGTTTTATTCGTCTTTTCGTTGTCAACGCATAGAAAAAAAAATCATCTCAATCAGAATTAAAACGAAAAAGTTATAGCATTTTTAAGAATAGAAAAAATATTGTTTATTAATTTGAGTTCGAGTTTCTGAACTCGAGTTAAAGGGGAAACTTGAACTCGAGTTTTAGTCCTAAACTCGAGTTTGAACTCGAGTTTAAACTCGAGTTTAAACTTAAGAGAACATAGACTCGAATAAAATTATAACTCAAGTTGCTTTTTTTTTGAGTTTTTTACTCAAAGAACAAGCCCTTTGTATTTACGAATCTACTAATATATATTAGCTGAGTATCCATATTAAAATAGAATGCTTTTTTAGGGAAAAAATAGAGTGTATTTTATTTCCTTAATAATATATAATAATAATAATAATAATAATAATAATAATATTGTCCCTTGATATTAGTTTAACTGATTTTGCCATAAATTATTTAGAGGATTTCACTCTATTAATTAGATGTAAAATTACCATTGAACTATACTTTCAATTAATTTTGGAATTCTAAGTACACACATTGTAAAAGAAATTTCTGAAAGTGAGTTCCTTAAAACGAAAGTTTAATTAAAGAACTCCAAAATGAAAGTAATATGATATTCATTTAATGTTTTTTAAAATAGAATTATGGTGACCTTTTATTATGGATTAGGGAAAAAAAAAAGAAATTTTGTTTTCAACGAGAAACATGTTCATGGAATTTTCTTTCAAAATCAATAGTAAAAATCAGTGTCCAACTAAAGTCACGTTTAATTTATAAATTTAAAATTATAATTTATAAATTTAAAATTATGATCTATAATTTTAATTTTTAAAATTTAAATTTTTTATAAAAAAATACTATAATAAAATCAACAACTATAGTTTTAAATCAAGCAAATAACCACGACTAGTCCTGGTCAAAACCATCACCTTCACTAGGGGTCAAAAACCATCCGATCAACGGCCAAAATCGCACCAACAACGAATCACAACCACAGGATACAAAAATGAAATTAGGAAGAAAAAACAAAGTTCGCGTCTCTGACTGCAATGCATAAATATTAGTCGGCCGTGGCGATTGCGACGATGCCACGCACCCGCCTTTGACGGGCAAAGTTCATGTACGCACTGGTCCACCTTTCCCATATTATATCCCATCATAGTCTCTTCCAATAAAAAAAAAAAAAAGAAGAAGAGAAAACAAATTTCTTTCTCCTCTCTCTCTCTAGAACCCTACTTTTCCATTTCGAAGACCTAAAATTCACCTCCGACGCGTGAGGTTCGGCGGCTACTGCAGTGATTCCGATGGGCCAATCGCCCTCAATGTTCGGGGCGTCGTCGGAGCCAGAGATTTCTTCGAGCCGTCGATTCAGTTTCCGACCGTCGGCAGTCATTTCCTCTGTGGAGCAAATTGAGGAGCCTGAGGTTTCCGAGAGCGTCTCCGGAGGAAGAGATTACACCTTTGATCTTCCCGACGAGTGCCTGGCTTTGGTTTTTCAGTTTCTCGGCGCCGGTGACCGGAAACGGTGCTCTCTGGTGTGCAAGCGGTGGTTTCGAGTCGACGGCCAGAACCGGTGCCGGTTGTCTCTGAATGCTCAGTCGGATATTCTCCCCTTCGTTCCTTCTCTCTTCGCGCGGTTTGATTCGGTCACAAAGCTCGCACTTCGGTGCGACCGGAAATCGATCAGCATAACCGACGACGCTTTGATCCTCATCTCGATCCGCTGCCGGAACCTCTCGCGCGTCAAGCTTCGCGGATGCAGAGAGATCACGGACGTCGGAATGGAGGTTTTCGCTCAGAATTGCAAGAGCTTGAAGAAATTCTCTTGCGGTTCGTGCTTGTTTGGGTCGAAAGCCATGAACGCCGTCCTCATTCATTGCAAGGCTCTCGAGGAGTTTTCGGTGAAAAGGCTTCGAGGAATCCACGACGGCTCTGAGATGATCGGGACCGGCGTGGCGGCGTCGTCTCTTAAATCCGTCTGCTTTAAGGAGCTGATCAACGGACAGTGCTTCGAGCCGCTTTTAATCGGAGCGAAAAAGCTCACAACCTTGAAGGTGATTCGTTGTTTGGGAGATTGGGATAGAGTTTTGGAAAAGATTGGAAGCGGAAACACTGGCTTTATTGAAATCCACCTTGAGAGGCTACAGGTTAGCGATTTGGGGCTTTCGGGGATTTCAAAATGCTCGAATTTGGAGGTTTTGCGCATCGTGAAGACCCCGGAGTGTACAAATTCCGGTCTTATTTGCGTCGCGGAACACTGCAAGAAATTGAGGAAGCTTCACATCGATGCGTGGAGGACTAATAGAATTGGTGACGAGGGTTTGATTGTTGTGGCCAAACAATGCCTTAACCTGCAAGAGCTTGTTTTGATCGGTGTCAATCCGACCTCATTAGGTTTGGCAGCAGTCGCCTCCAATTGCCATAAGCTGGAAAGGTTGGCGCTCTGCGGCAGTGGCTCCATAGGCGACGCAGAAATCGCCTGCATTGCTGCAAAATGCGTGGCGCTCAAGAAGCTATGTATCAAGGGATGCCCGATTTCGGATGTCGGGATCGAATCTCTCTCAAGAAGCTCTGTATCAAGGGATGCCCGATTTCGGATGTCGGGATCGAATCTCTCGCTTGGGGTTGCCCGAATTTGGCCAAGATTAAGGTCAAGGTCAATCCGACCTCATTAGGTTTGGCAGCAGTCGCCTCCAATTGCCATAAGCTGGAAAGGTTGGCGCTCTGCGGCAGTGGCTCCATAGGCGACGCAGAAATCGCCTGCATTGCTGCAAAATGCGTGGCGCTCAAGAAGCTCTGTATCAAGGGATGCCCGATTTCGGATGTCGGGATCGAATCTCTCGCTTGGGGTTGCCCGAATTTGGCCAAGATTAAGGTCAAGAAGTGCAGGGGAGTGAGTGGCGGGATTGCGGATTGGCTTCGTGAACGCAGGGAATCGTTGATTGTGAATTGGGATGATGGTGAAGTTGAGCGCTTGGATGGTAATGCTAGTGAAGTTGGAGCCCCAGAAAGTGTGGCGGAATTTCCTCGGACGGCTGGCCAAGTAAGTGATTCCACAGCAGCCTCAAGTAGTAATGGTCCATTGCAATTGTTAAGAACAAAGTTTTTGGCTTATAGAAATCTAGTTCCTTGCGCCTTTAGAAGGTTCCCCAATACTGATACTAATTCCAATGAAAACTTGTAGAGATATCTGTGTTCGAGCTGGAAAGCTATTTTCGCTCAAGTTGTTTATTTCTTTGGACAGACAATTCTTTCGTTGTTGTATTGCCTGTTACAGGCTTCGTTTTTATGATCTTATGTTGTGGATTTTTTTGCAATTGCCTGAATGCTGGGCATCTGAAAATTGTATGAGTTGCTTAAATCTAACAGTCAACTTCATCTTTGCATTTCATTTTTAATGCTCTTTCAATTCCTTCATTCTTTCTTTGCTACTTTCCTCCAATTCCACTAGGGCCTATGGGTGTTTGTGGCTGCTTTATAGGTAAAGTTTCATGGTTTTTCACAGGTTCAGTTGGATCTCAGTACATAATCTGGTTCTAGAAATATGTTGTTTGATCAAGAGAGCTATAGATGGAATTTCTAGTCTGAGCTGATGATATTTTGTTACTTTTCACATCGTTGTTTTGGACTTTGCCAATAGCTTGATGTACTATCTCCCTCCCCCTAGAGCGAAATGCGGCAAAAGTGAGGAAAATCCGTAGACCAACCCCATCATCTCCACCCCTTAGGAAAAGTGAGGAAAATCCGTAGACCAACCCCATCATCTCCACCCCTTAGGAACTACGAGATCACCCTAAGGATGCCTTTGGCATCCAGCGTACCAACCATAGAACCCTGTTTAATAAGTGGAAGGCTTTTGCTGTTCGCTTTTAGGTTGGGCAGTGACGGCCAGAGAAGGGCAATCACTCATTCTCAAAGCCATCATTCTTAAGATCAAAAAGTCAGAGTGTAAAAGGGGGGAAAGCTCTCCGGAATACAACTTACAAGTAATTCGTGCAACGTCATTTGCAGTGTCGTTGAATAGTATGGAGTGCCGATAAAGTTTTATCCTTCGTTTTAAATCATGGCTTTTGACATTGCTTGCTTTGCTAATAGCACTTATGAATAAATGATTATTAATTTTAACACCACTTTTGTATACTTTCATAATTAGCATTGCCATGTTAGTAAAAGTGGGACCAAGCCGTTTTTACTTGAGTTAAAATGACAATTGTGTCGCATTTCAGTTTTAAAGCCTTAAATATATATATATATATATATATATTATGAAGGCTTTTATAATTAAAATATTCAAAGTAGAACGTGGGTGTGCATAGAGACCAAGAAACCCCAATGACCACCACCGTCTATCACCTTGAGCACCGACGAACCCACGAAAACCCACGACAGCGAGAACCCATCTCACCACGCGACGAGAACCGATTAACCTTCGCTGGAGAAATCAACGCCTAAACCTCTTTGTCGGAGAAGAACGAACCGAGGAAACCTCCCTCTCTTCGCCGCAGAAATCAGCCATGAAACCAGTGCTGAACTTTCGGGAGGCGGGTATGTCCGATGCCTGAAAATTTTTGGGCACGACGTGCAGGCGCCATTCGCCGCCCGTCCAACCTTTTTGGCCGGCCAAGGCTCGGGCAGCCCGAAAAAAATCCATTCTGGCTGCCCGCCGCCCGCCGGATTTTTTTTTTTTGAATTTTCCCGCGTAACCTGAATTTGCCCGAATTTTTATGAACGTTAGCCCGATTTTGCCCGTTGCCCGTTGCCGGAATATGCTTGAACTTTTTTGACCGTTAGTTTGAATATTTGCCCGAATTTTGAACCCTAACGGCTCTTTTTGCCTGACCCGATCGCCGCATGAATTTTTAAATCCCAACGGCTATTTTTAAGACCGTTGCCCTATTTTTGCCCGAACCCGACCGAAAGCCCGAATTTCACATAGCCGTTGGAACCGAATTTTTGGGGAAAATTTTTTTTTTTCAGGCCAAAAAATTTCCTATAAATACTGCCCTTCCCCCAACCATTTTTCTCATCCAAAAACTCTCATTCTCTCTTAATTTCTCTCAATCTCTCTCAAATCTCTCTTAATCTCTCTTAATTTCGCTTAAATCTCTCTCGATCTCTCTTAATCTCTCTCAATCTCTCTTATTTTTCATAATGGCTTCTTCTGGTTATGGTGGTGATATTCCCATTGATGCTTAATTTTTTTATATAGTTCGTGTGTTCATTTCAAATTTTAAATATATATATATCTATAATAATATATAAATATATAATATAAAAAATATTTAAAAATTTGAGCATTTTCAGTCGGGTTCGGGCAGCCCGATCGGGCACGGGCAGCCAAATGTTGTCCGATGCCCATCCAAGGAGAAAATCGGGTCGGGTCAGACAGCCTGAAAATTCGGGCAGTTCGGGCTCAGTCATCAGGTAAAAATTCAGACTTTTCGGTGGTTGCGGGCGGCCCGTCCAAAGTTTCAGCACTGCAGGAAACATACGAGGTCATTAGATTCTCATTGTGCTATTTATTTGGTTTATGACTCTGTCTGATGGCCGGTCATATCATTATGACCGTTTGATAATTTTATTATGACCGGTCATAAGACAGGCACATCGTGCGGTCATAGTAATATGAACGACAGTCATAATTACTATGACCACCCATTAGGCAGGCAGACGCATAATGTGATTGTCTAACTAATGAGCCTGCGGTCATAGCATTATGACCCTCGGTCATAGTAATGTGACCGCACAATTGTCAGGCTCATAGTGCGACTGCCTTGCGGTCATAGCATTATGACCCTCGGTCATAGTAATATGACCACACAATTGTCAGGCTCATAGTGCGACTGCCTTACGATCATAGCATTATGACCCTAGGTCATAGTAATGTGACCGCACAATTATCAGACTCTTAGTGTGCCAGTCATAGTACTTTTTTTATGGGCGGTCATCAGTCATAACACTTATGACCGTCGGTCATAGTACTATAACTGAACAATTGTCGAACTCTTAGTGTGCCAGTCATAGTACATTGGTTAACAACTTTGTTTGCTTTCTTGTTTCTTTTTTTTTTTTTTGTATTTGTTGATTTTTTTTTACCAATTTTTGTCATCTTAGAAGAAAAAAAGACTTTCGAGGAAGAGATGCCTTTGGAGAAAGATAAAGCAGATACTAAGAAGGTTAGTTATTTAAAATTTGTGAGCTTCATTGGATTATCATTGTGGTCATTTTTGTTCTCTGACTCAGCCTTATGGTGGTCATATTATTATGACTGCACTATGACCGATGATATCTTCACAGGAGCTTCCCCATCTTCAATAACATAACTTAAGGATAAACTTTTTCCTTGTGGTCGAATCCCAAGCACATTTCTCACCAAATTTGTAAGACCAATATAAGTTGTGTTGGTGGGGACTAATATCCCCTTCATTTCACAACCGACGTATCTCGAAGTACGGTCCTAATGTCCATTGTACTTGATGAAGACGTTCAATCCAGCAGTCATTCATAAATAATTTCAAAAACAATAACTGTTAGTCAACATGCAATTACTCCTAATCGGCATAGAGTCATTAGAAATTGCTAGTCATAACATTGTGTAATGGCCGGTCATAAGGCAGTCATAGTGTGTCAGTCATAACACTATAGGTCATTTCAGTCATAATATTATGACAGTCCGGTCACATCACTATGACTGCCTTATGGACGGTCATAATACTATGATCGGACTATGACCGGTCATTTTGACTCGTACTGTTATAATTTGACTCATAGACAATGACTTATACTATTATGACTGATTGGTCATAGTATTATGACTGAACATATAACACCAATGTCAACTATGTCTTTGACGTGGTGGTCATTACAATCAGTTTACATATCAATTATAAACCATCCAAAATCTCAAATTGACGAAGAATAGTATCAATTCCTATCACATTAAGTTCAATCCAGACATTTTTTTCGAGTTCTATGTACGAAGCCTCCCGAAAAATAAATTTAAAAAGAAAAAAATAAAAGAAAAACAAAAAAATTGTGTATCAACCTCGATCTGGTGCACAACTGGAGTATTAGCGATGAGGAAATGATGGCGTAGTCGAGAGAGAGAGAGAGAGAGAGTTTAAATGATAATTTTAACCTAAGTGACGTAGACATCATTTTACCTCACACTGTTGACATGATAATACTAGTTGTGAAAATATATAAAAATGATTCTAAAATTAATAATCATTTATTTATGAGTGCAATTATTGAAATTAATCATTGCTTTTATCTGTTTGATTTTATTTTTATTTTTATTTTTTAAATAAGCTGTTTAGTGTTTATATGCATGATGATAGTCTATTTGAGGGGAAACTGTAGGCATGATGATAGTCTATTTGAGGGGAAACTGTAGGCATGATGATAGTCTATTTGAGGGGAAACTGTAGGCATGATGATAGTCTATTTGAGGGGAAACTGTAGGCATGATGATAGTCTATTTGAGGGGAAACTGTAGGCATGATGATAGTCTATTTGAGGGGAAACTGTAGGCATGATGATAGTCTATTTGAGGGGAAACTGTAGGCCTGTTTGAATAGTAAATTTGAATAACTTACCCTGATGAAGTTGCACGATCCATTGGGAGTCAGGAGTTAACTTGAAATGCGGGCTTGTTTTTTTTGAATAAAAAATTCAAAAAAAAATCATTTAAATTATAATTTTATTTAAATTTATGTTCTTTTAAATTTAAATTTGAGTTTATGACTAAAATTTGATATGCACCATTTTATTTAATAAGGTTAAATGCGTAAGTTCTCCCTTAAATTTTGATCATTTCTAAGGATAGGGACGTTCTTTTATTTTAGACCCTTGTCTTTTCCTAAACACAGGGTCGATCATCATTTCATTAAAACGCAGGAGATAACATATATTGTTTTCGCTTCAACAAAATATCATTATGGTATCTTGTTTTCGCTTTTTGAAAAGCAAAAAAAAACCCCTTTTGCTCTTTTACTCAAAAGTTAAAAAATATAAATTAAAAAGAAAAAACACAATTTTTTAAAAATAAAAATACTAAAAAAGAAAAAAAGTCTCATGTCCTAATAACTGAAATGTCCTAATGTTTAGGCAATTTTATGTTGAGGACATACTTTAATGGCTTAAGATTGCGTTTTTTCTATAAAAACTTAAATAAAACCACTAACGTATCACAATCTTCCCTTTCATTAAAAAAAAATTATATCAACAATTAATGTGGTTAAACTTTTTATTTTACTCATTGATTTAAAAACATGTCCAAATCCTAAATTGATACAAAAGTTTGAGGAGCCTCCCTATAGCCGTGGCCACCCTACTAGTGGACTTCACCCTCGTTGGCCACCTTGCGGGTTGCACTCCCTCACTGACGACGAACTTTGCCCTCCCCCTTGCGAGTAGCGTTCCCTCATTGTGAACTCACGAAGACCGACAACCTCCCTCCTTGTTGTTGCCATCGTCGACTACTCTATTAAGCTCTACAACCTCGCCTCCCACCTCCCCTAACCCAATATGCTCCCTCCATGAGCATGAAACCCTAATCAGCTTTGCAGAAATTGTCCTTTGGCGATTTGGTCTCGTTTCCTGATCTTTCGAGAGATTGCTCGTGGTTGGTCTTGGAGCCATGGCCATCATGACAGTCCAGCAGGTTCTCATTGTCGTGAGAAAATAGAATTGTTGTTAAGGCGAACGAGTTTATCGAAAGTGGTGGAAAAGTTAGCTAGCGGCTATGGGAATTTTTATTTTTATTATTATTATTATTATTATTGTTATTGGTGTCAAATCATATGTAAGAGGTCTTACTTTAGTTTGATGCTCCTTCATCTCTTTTTAGTGTTAAATTCAAATCTAATGATTATGATAACATGCCCTATCAAAGAAAAAGTATCGTGCCTACCACAGACTTACCCAAAATGTTTTTAGAACCAAAAGTAACACTGTCGTTGCTGTTAAACGTTTCCTTTGGTAGTAATACGTATTTATATTATTTTAAACGTGGTTTATTACTTTATCACCCTTTACCGAATAAGGTAACACTTCTCTCACCTACCACTGTGCTGCCAACATCTCCAGTAGGTAACTCATAAAAACCAATCTCTCAAAAATTCAACAATTGATAAACACGCGGTTTTCATTCCTTAAACAATAAAACTTTTAGGGGTTGTTCTTTTACATTTTTGAGTTAGAGTGACTTGAGTGATGATTTTAAGTTGAATTATAACTTGAGTTAAAGTTGTAATTTGAGTTTGTGTTTGGATGTGCACATTTGAGTTATGATTTGAATTGAGAATCTTTTTGAGTTTGTATTTGATTGAGTCAAAACTTAAATTTATATTTAGATAGTATTTTAATAAAAACTCAATGGTGATGAAAAATTTTAATAGGGTATATGGGTGGAGTTTTATTCGTTTTTTCATTGTGAATGCATAGAAAAAAATCATCTCAATAAGAATTAAAGCGAAAAAGTTATGACATTTTTAAAAATAGAAAAGACATTGTTCATTAACTTGAGTTTGAGTTTATGAACTCGAGTTGAAGGGGAAACTTGAACTCGAGTTTAGCCCCAAACTCGAGTTCAAACTCAAATTCAAACTCAAATTTAAACTCAAATTTTACAAAAGAATATGAACTTAAATAAAATTATAACTCGAGTTTAATTTTTTTTTTTAAATTTTATTGCAAAAGAATAGCCTCTTAAAAGTTCAAAATAGGTGATGCTCAAGTTTCACTTTTAAAAGGTAACTTTTACATTATTTCCTCCCTATAATACTAAACGACATAAACGAGTAGCAAAATTCTTTCTCGCTTGCTTTCTTTCTTTCTTACAAAACATAATAGATGACGAGCAACATATCATCTGCTAATACGACAGTAAACTTTCAAATTAAAAATGGGGATATTTATATTTTTATAACCCGTGAGTTTTAAGTTTATTCAAAATATATACATTCAATTTTTAATCTTATTAAATGTATATATTTAAATTAGATTTAATATACAAATCTATACCTTATCTCGGTCAATAATTGATTTTAACTTTTAAAATGACTAAACTATCCTTAAAAAAAGGAAAAAAACACTAAAACTTTCTAATATTATGATAATTAAAAATTAATAACATAAAAAAATCATTTGAATGGTATTTTACATATTTTAGAGGTCAAAATTATGAGTTTAAAGTTTTTTTTAGGTTTTTTCTTTTTCCTATGTTTTTTATTTAATGGTATTTTTGGTATTCTTAAGCTTAAAATCAAGGATTGACTATGAAAAGGTATATATTTTAATATTGAATCTAATTTGAAGTATATATTTAATGAGATCAAAAACTAAAAGCATATTTTTTAAATAAACCCAAAACACAAAGTATATAAAGATAAATATCCCTAAAAAATGTTATCTCGATTTTTACAAGCTATATGTTTGACAAATGAAAATTACTATTTTCTTAATATTTATACTAATTGCTGTAAAACTTCTGAACTCTCTTCCCTCTAGTCTAGTAGCAGATCTTATAATTTGCAGCAACAGGCACATTTAATTTTTTTCTTTTTCACCAAATGAAATGTGATCATAAGTTGGCTCATTATAGGTAGGAGTGTTCATGGTCTGATTCGGTCTCAAACTGTTAGGTTTTGGGACCGGATCATTAATAACGGTTTTTAAAAATTTATACCAAACTAGACTATTAGTAAATTGAGACCGGACCGAGCCGAACTATTAACAAGCGGTCCGGTCTAGTTAAACCGCAGTTTAGACCATTATTGTGTATGTGTATTCTTTTCTTTTATTAATGAGTAAAATTATATGTTACATAATACATATCATTCTTTAAAGTTAGCATCCTAAAAGTTACAAACAAAAATAATATGTAGTTCTAAGCATGAGTCTATAACTATTAAACAACAACATGCAATCCAAAGCAAAAGTCCACAATTAATAATAATACAATCATCCAAAGTCTAAATCCACAATTAATAATAATACAATCATTTAAAGTCTAAATGTAAATAATAAGGTTGCCCAAAGTCTTAAAGGTATGTGCAAATAGAGGGAATTAAAACTACGTAGTTTTGACTTAAAGTTTTTTTTTTTTTTTTAAATATATATGTATATTCTCAATAGTCCGGTCCAGTATAAACGGTTAGATAAAATTTCAAACTAAATCAGACCGTTAAAAAAATGGTTTGGTCCATTTTTAAATCGTTTCTTAATGATTCGTACGTGAAACTGGATCGGCGGTCTAAAAATTGACGGTTTGATCCGAACCGTGCATAGCCCTAATTATAAGCTTTCAAAAATAAACTCATAGCGTTAACTTCACACGACTCCCTGCCTCCATCCCCACAACAAAATTTTGGCTTGAAATTGTTGTAGAAAAAAATAAAATAAAAATGGCGTGAAGGTTTGGAAAAAACGACATATCTCTCTTTTTCTTTTTTTTTTTTTTTTTTTTTTTTTTTTTTTTTTTTTTTTTTTTTTTTGTAAACAACTACCGGCAAGTGGTGCTTTATCTTATTAAACGACAACAAACTTTAAAACAAAACGACATGTAGTATTCCGATTTCCAACTCCTTTGGTTTCTTAAGCCCTAAAGCCCGTATCATTGAATTCGCGGTTCCTTTTAACAGCCGCTTCCTAAACTCACTCTCTCTTAGTTTGGGTCTTCTTCAGAAGAATCGGCCATGGACGACCTACTCGCTATTACAGAGAAGAAGGTAAGCCTTTTTTATTATCTCTGTAATGTGCAAACTCAAAATATGAGCTTTCGGTTCGACCAAATGTAAAAATCTTTTTTTTTTTTGGTCGGAGTTCTAGTTGCGCTGAAAAGTTCTTTCTTGATATTATGTATTTCCGCTTTGTTTTCTTTGAAGATTTTTCATTTTGTATGAATTTTGATACAATAAGCTTGTGCGGTTGTTTTCTTTTGCTTATCATTCTCATTAGTTGGAAAAATGAAAGTGAATTGAACTTGCAGAGTGGAAACTGTTAGATAATAGTGCTCTTTCTTCACTTGAATTTCTACTTCTAGAGAAATAAGTTTTTTTTTAATCGTTAAAAGCTCTTTAGAAATTTCAAATGAGTTAACTTTGTTTGTGGAACCTCTGGTTGTATGGAAAAATAAATCTCTAAGGGTTTTTTTTTTTTTTTGGAATGAAATTGGAAAGGCAATGAGTTCGGAAAGTAAAAATGAATAAAAATGAGAATTATTGATTTTCTTTCTAATGTTTATTTATCTATCAGAAAGTGAGATGGGAAATAATTCAATTCCCTTTCTAATGTCTACTAAACTTAGGAATAGAAATCTTGTCAATTTAACTACTAAAATATCCTTTTACATGATTAAATAAATAATAATTATCGTCTTATAACATGTGAACTTATCAAGAATAAATGAATAAATGAATAAATTTGGCATTCATTACGTAAATCAATGCCTAGGGGTGCAATCTTTCTTCATTCGTTATGTTGTGTGGGGTCGATAAACTACCGTTAATTTTTTAAGTAAATACATGATTAAATGGGAATGTTTTCCCTTTCTTTTTCATGAGAAGTAAACACCCTAAGTCTTGTAATTGTCACAAACCATGCAGAAAACTGTATTTTTATATGATTACAGTTGTAGTAGTACTTTTTTTAATTTAAATTTACGTAATTATTTATTATCATGTATTTTAATGTTTCCACTTGATAGGCCCTTGTTGAGATTGTGAAGTTGGTCCAGAAAAGAGGATGGAAGGGTACTAAAGGAGATTGGAAGGAGTTTTTGAACATTTATGATAAACAGATTGGGGCAAGCTTGAGTGATCCGGCAAGGAGGTCCAATAGTGTTTTGATTTCTTTTCTGATGACATTTGATAAAGAGGATCATTTGCAGGTAATGAACACTATTAGTTACTAAAGGCTGAGTGGGCTCTTCATGTTAATGCAGAACTTAGTTTTTTGTTAGTTTGCTCAGCATTTTATGTGATTAAGATGATGACTTCTCTCTCTCTCTCTCTCTCTTGCTTCAGTTCTTGACTAAAGTAATCCAATCTTGTTCCAAGCAAAAGATGGTTCAACAACTTACGAGCTCGCTGGATGATGAGTCCCCTGAGCAGGTGAATGTTTTGGTTGCACAGAAGCTCATAATGTTATCCTTCTTTTATCTACAAAATTATTTTCTTGTGGTTCAATTCTTAAGAGATAAATGATGTTTCTTATTCCTAAAGGTTTTTTTTTTTTTTTTAAGTTATTTTATTTTACTGAATCCTAAAGCTCTGTATAACCTCTAAGCTTACTTAAAGTCACTTCCATATTAAAGGGTTTTTATTAACTCTTGTAACTTGTTCGTCTTTTTAACCTGTGACGGTGGCAGTACAGAGGCTGGTTTGCTTAACTCTTGAACACCCGCTGTATCCCTTCGAGTATTCTTTCCCTTCAAATAGTCAGGTAAGTGATTATTCTAACCTGCCATACTTACTCAAATTGGGTCTTTATTTCTTATGCTGCATCGTAGGTGAAATATACAACTCAACTTAGCTCAATGTACATTCTATACCCTATTTACGATCCATAGGGAGATCTTTAAGATAATGATTTTTCCTTTTTTAAGTTTTTAGATTCTCAACCCATGATTATAATTTTATGAGCATCCTTTTCTTGGTGTTTCATCTTTAACTTGAACCGAAGCACTCAAACAGAAGAATCATTTTTAATCTTTGTTGCACATAACTATTGAGCATCAGATTTCCTTTCTCTTCATATAGTTATCTTATTAAGGTCTCTAGGTTTTAAATATATTTCCCAAATTGCTCAACCTACTACATCCCGAAGGAAGGTTGGTTATGTATTCTATGTATTTTTTAACTGGCATGCGTCTGTCTATTAACTTGTGGAAATGGTGAATCAGGATTGGGTTGTTACAGAGGTCGGTAAAAAATCCAAGGTGATGAAATTAGACAGAATTCTTGCCGTTGACTGTGAGATGGTCTTGTGTGTAGATGGAACTGAAGCATTAGTGAGGGTGTGCGTTGTGGATCACAATTTACAGGTGATCATCTTGCTTGTTTCCGTTATTTTGTGAAATAATAATCCAGTCCTTTTTCAAACTACTTGGACCTGCTAATTTTCCAGAGTTGTTAGCTTTATCTGAAATGAGTGAAGGAAAACACTCTAAAAGGACTCTGTTTTTGGTGTTTCTACCCTTTTGAGTGTTCAATTTGAAGTTTGGATTTTCAGGTCAAGTTGGATGAAATTGTAAACCCTAATAAAGCAGTTGCAGATTATAGAACTGAGATTACAGGCATCACTGAAGCAGATCTGGAGGGAGTTACTTGCTCGTTGGTAGATGTGCAGGTGAAGTGTGATTTTTTTGTAGGCTTTGAGAAATTTCTCTCAATGTTCTTTTATCTCTAGAAGTTTGGTGCATTTTTGTAGAAATCATTGAGGAAATTGTTGTCGAAGGGAAGAATTTTAGTTGGCCACAGCCTAAGTAATGACCTAAATGGTTAGTGGAATCACTGGTGTTGCCGCTCAATTTTATTTTTACATGATACATAATTCAATTATTGCTTCTACTAGTTTGCTCATCCCTTTTTTTTTTTTCTTTCTTTTCTACGAGTTCAGCATTGAAGATAGACCATACATGGGTGATTGATACCTCGTTTATATTCAAATATTCTGATGGACCTATTAATAGAAGACCTTCTTTGAGTAATTTGTGCAAGGTAAGTAAAATTATTAAGTTGTTTCAACTATCAATCAGTATGACATAATTTTGAAATAATCTCTTTTGTTTACTTTATGGAAATATCTGCTTTTACACTCTAATTTTCTCACTGCAGGAAGCATGTCTTATCCATTCTGTGGTTAATATTGTCTTTCATCATCAAAGCATATTTGCTGCTTTTAGATGTATTTCTTATTCTTACTGTTCTATATATTTCTTCTTTTGACAGTCGTTGCTGGGCTACGAACTACGTCAGAAGGATGCACCACATAATTGTTTGGATGATGCTTGTGCTGCAATGAAACTTGTCCTTGCTAGGCTAGAGCATCAAATCGAAGATACTGTTCCCTTTCCTGAAGTGGATGTGAGTTAGCTTTTGTTTATTATAATTTCTTGTTTCAGTTATGACTTAATGCAAATTTGCTAAATCATTATTTATTTTTGACAACTGTAGGCGCGTGAAATTGACATGTCGAAGCTATTTCTTCACAAGATACCTCTGTATGTGCCTAGTGAAGAATTGCTAAAGGTCATTCCTGGGGACTTTACAATCGAACTCAAGGTTGAGCACACACTCTTTTAGCTTCTTACATTTTCTATGGATTGCCCACATTCAGCATGATTAGTTTGAATTACGTTCATGTTCACATGGAAAACTGAAAATAATCTAGGATAAGATACTGATCCCTCTGGACAATTGTCACTAATTTATTATGTTTTGAATTGCTCACCAATTTTCACAGTTTGTGCATGTCTGGATGTGTCGATCGTATTTATAGTATTTTCTCTGTATTATGTGTGTATGTTTACTCATTCTTCTCTCTATAAAGTTCTTAATGTAATGAATGATTTCCGCAGCCATCTTGGAAAACTCGAGGAAATAAATATTCTGCCTATGCTGTCTTTAAGAATTCAGACGAAGCACAACAAGCATATGAAAACGTTAAAGGCAGTGAAGAAAAGGTACTTACCATAAGTGTTTTTTTTTTTTGTTTTTGTTTTTGTTTTTTTTTTTTTCTTTTTGATAAATTACTTAATCAAACTCAGTTCCTGGGAAATACAAATACTATTTATCTGCGTGCTTTTCCCCCCCTTCTTCTTGGTGTACTTTCTTGATATTGTGCCTTTTTGTGTTCCCATGGAATGATTCCCTTCCAGTCAGGACATGGGAATTCTGTTGCTTTCTCCGCATATTGATCCTGAATAATAGTTCATTGTTTGTAAGTTTAGATTTTTGTTACAACAACATATGGTGCATTTTATATATCAGGAGAGAAGTCTAGTTTTGTCTTGTGATTAAATAATAAATAAATATCTTTTGATGTATCTTATGCTAGGATTCGTTTGGACGACCACAGAAACTTATCACTTTGCGTCCCAGCAAAGGTAAACCTTGTAGTATTTATGTTCGTAAAATGGCAGATGGTGATGGCAACGAGGGAGACGTGTCTAGGAAGAGAGCTCATCAAGTTGAAGAGACATCAAATGTATCCAAGAAACTGAAAACAGAAGAGAATAATAAAGAGGAGACAATGGAAGACCAGAATGAGCGTTGTGATGATCTTGAAGAAATTGAGATATCAAAGAAAGAACGGAAAGCCAAGGATTTGGATACAGTGACTGCTAATGGAAAGGTGTCTAAGCACCGAAAAAAGGACAAAAAAGGAAAGAAGAAACGGCATTAGGCAGTACCTTGGATTGTTATGAATTGCATGTGGCTCGTTGATCCGTATGTTTGCTTTCTATGGTGTGTTACTGCTCAACAATAGTGGGAAGGATTCTGTAAGGTTTGGGTTGAGGATGCCAGCCACAAAGAAGGGTTGAAAGTTTCTTCCCATTCTCTGCTCTGTTCTTATGGTTTGGCTTCCAGTCAACTGGTGGATTGGTGCATTTAACATATTCTGATTAATTTTGCTACGAAGAGCAAGTGCAGATTGTGCCTCGGAATATTAAGGAATAGGTAAGAGAATGCGAAAAAGATGGGCCGGAAATTCGAATTAGGTATATCGAAGACTGAACGAGTTATTTGGCGTGGCAGCTGAAATAACTTGTATATTTTGCAATGTTGTGCTATTTTCTAACAAATTCTCACATTGTACCCATGGAAATAACCCTATTTGTTTTCCAATAATTCTCACATTTTGTTTGTCGTTTAAAATCCATTTGCTGTCGTACAGGAGACGACGTGTCGTCTAAAGTTTTAAAAGTGTTATCTTTTACGTTAAACGTGTTTTTATTTTGTTTGTTTTTTTTTTTTTTGGGGTCCAAGAACGGATCAACACGTCGTTACAGTGTTATCTTTTACGTTAAACGTGCTTGGTTTTTTATTTATTTATTTAAGTAGACTGTTGTCCAAGAACGGATCAACACGTCGTCAGTGGCTAAGAAGTTTGTAAGTTTGTTGTTTTTGCCGGTTGTTAACGATACGTAGTTTATCCTAATGAGTTATTGTCGTTTTATAATGAAAGAAGGTTCTAGTTTGTGAAGAAAATCCACGTCATTGGTCTTCCAAAATTTATTGTAGACATAAAAAAAAAAAAAAAAAAAAGCTCTCGCGTTCAATTTTCAAGTCAGAATTTTACATGTTCACGAAAAAAAAAAAAAAGACTAGCTTTTGTTCCTGCCAAAATGACATATTGAGTAAACGACATGTAGTTTGTGTAGATCAATGAACTGACATCTCATTCTCGTCTCGGTTTCCAGACGGTTGTCATCTGTTTAAGAGGCTTGTATACAATTAATTATTTGGAACACGGTTCCAAGGAGTTGGGAACCAAACACTGCTTTTAATCAGTCACTCTCAAAATCTTCATCATCACAGAAAGTGAAAACTGAAGCATCGGCAGCCATTGCCTTTATATCACTTCCCCCAACCGAATCCAGCTTAGGAAGCGTCCCACTGCTGGAGTCGGTTTTTCTAATCCTGTCAACAGTTGCTTCTTGCGAGACATTCGCCTGCGAATGACTTCCCAGTGATAACGGTTTGATTTCACGTACTACATTTCCAATTTGTTCTGCCGTGGAGTTAGATGGATGTACAGGTTCAGCTATAGAAGTAGCTCTAGCAGACATTCTGTTAGGAGCTCCTTTTTCTTCTCCGTCACTATCCGAAAACACGTCATCATTGTCTTCACTCTGAGAGGCTTGTTTCCTATTGGAATTAGCTTCAGTTCCGACAGTTGAGCCAGGAGCAGAACTAGAGGTACCGTCGGATTTATTGGCCATGGAATCGGCTTTAGATCTTGTAGGCAAAGTACCATCATAGTCTATCATCACGATTTCAACCTGAAATCCTGGAGAAGGCAGTTTCCTCTGCCCATTACAAGCAATGGCTTTTCAAAACCAACTAGAGCGGAAATAGGCTTAACTTTGATGAAATTGTAGCAATCAAGTACTATTTGAGGCAACTTCATGTCATTTTACCTTGTCAAAACCGTCAAGCTCGGAGTTATCTAAGATTGTTCTGTTCTCTATCATTGTTGTATTTAACCAACTGAAGAGAAATTAAAAACCAAATTAAGTCGTTGGCATTGTCTTTTTCATATGCTTAAATGAAAATAGTTATTGGATAATGACATATAGACTGATACAAATGGCTACATTCTCAAAAATATTTCAAATCAAGTTATTATCTTACCAAAAGTGGCATTTATAATATAACTATATAAGAGAAGAGAGAGACTACAAACCAGTAAGAATCTCCTTGCCGGTCATGAAAATGAACTTTAAAGTCCCCCACCAATTCTGTCAGACCAGGTTCCCCTGGTAGAGCAAAAACCACTATCCCTTTTCTTGATGTTTTGATCCAGAAATCTTCCGGCTGCAAAAATGAATTGGTTAGCTCAAATCCAAAAGTAAAATAGCCCACATTTTGACATCTTAACAATTGAACCAACAGAAAACCAGCTAAAAATTTAATAGACATAACTAACTTTCATAGATGTTTACCATTAGATCCTTTGTTTTGGGATGCTTTCTCGTGGTGAACAAAATTCCTGTAAATTCGGAAAGGTGTTTTTTTTTTTTTTACACAAACATACAAGCATTGAATTTACTGTCAGAACTCAAATTTTAATGATTTAATTCATCTGCTTTACTGAAACTCGGTAACATAAATCTCAATACAAGCAACCAAGAATCAACATTTAAAGCTTCCTTCTGGACAGAAAGAAACTCTAGATTGTCACCTCAAAAGAAGCAGATTCAAAACGAATGAAGACACACCCACATAAGACAAAAAATGTCTCTGGAGCAGGCCAAAATCAACCTCACCAGAATGATGGTTTACATACAATGTGAAGATCTGAGAATAAGATCGTGACATTCAGCCCCAGAAGAAGTTGTGTGGCTGCTCAAGATACTACAAATAGTTAAGGATAAAGGTGATAAGGGCAGCAAGAATTCCGAGCTTACCGTTGTGATTAGAGATTGTGATAGAAGGCCTAATCCAATAGGGGCATTTGTGAAGCCGAAAACCCCTAAGCATGCATCTGAATAAATAAATACAACTTTCAGTACCTTCCCCGGGGGTTCAAATGATAACTTCTGAAAAAGCTATCACCTAAACATACCTACGACCAGGTTGATTTTCTCCTTTGAAGTCTGTTAAGACACGCTCAAAATATTTGACATACCTCTGTAAAACGTAGAATAAAAGCTAATCAGAATTATGTAAAGAGTATCTAATCTTAAAAAGATGCATTGTTATTATCAAGTGACTGACAATCTGACTTGGGAGAATCAGAGCCTTCCCGTCTACACATCTTTTCTGGTTGTAGTAATCAATAGCCTCGTCCGCTGTGGGGAAGAACTGCAGAAATGATAAAATAAAATAAAAAAACAAGTTCAATCATGAGAGCAGAGACATATGGAATTAAGAAAATAAATAAACAAACAAAAGATTCCAAAATCTTGATGGGGTAAAATTTCACCTTGAGGAATAAGAGAAGATTACAAATCATTAACCCCGTTCTTGCCATACCAGCTTTACAATGAACAACTACAACATTTTGGATATCCTCCTTTAACCAAGCAAATGCACTTTGACAAAATGATCTTATCAGCTGAATTGGGGGGCAATTATGGTCATCAAATGGAAAACTCGCAACCTGAAAACATTACATCTTATGATATATCCAATAAAAACTTGAATAATGATAGACCGTTGCAAATATTTGATCATTTTTCCTAAACTATCAACTGTGGAAAAGTCAACTCATTGATTTAGTGCATAACAATATAATGGATAATTAGGAATCTATACCTTTGGATTTGAAAAATGATACAAATTACTACCACAGGGAAAACCTTAAATCTTAGAATCCAACTCCAAAGAATTATAATTACAAACATTTCATTAAGAAGACAAGGATGCAGCTGAAAATGGAAAACCGTACCTTCCCTTCAAATAGTGAAGCATCATACAACCTCTCTGAACAAAGGTTGTATACTTTATATTTTCCCTGCACAATTAATTACACTTCAAATACAAAGAATTTCAAGTTTTACAGACAAAAAATAGATCGGAGACGAGCCCAGAAAAAACACATAACTAGATTCTAAATTCTAAAAAGCGACACGCTTGATCATTCTCTCATAATCAAAACCAGATTTCCCCAAAATCTTACCTTGTGGTGAGTTTCAAAAAATTTGATTACTTCCTCCATGTGATTTCTATAGAAACCCTGCACCAAAATGTTTTAGTTAACAGTTTCCCCAAAAAAGTATGGTCAATTGAGTTCCTACGGAAAATCATGTAATTTCTTACCTCAAGATATCCAAAAAAACCAGACGTTAAACTACCAGCTGGGAAACCCATGGCAATTATGTTCTCAGTAATGTATGTCATATCTAAATCAAAACCTCCATCCTGCAAATGACACAAAACATTTATTTTGTGAAGCTGCAATGCATTGTACTATCAAAAAACGAAACAAGAAAAAAAATAAAACCACTGAAGTATGGTAACAGTGACAGAAGATCTTGAGTAAATGCTGCACGAGATGAATATGCTAGTTACACTAACGTCATGTATTAGAAGACTGCATCAAAAAGGGAATACAAAAACACAAACATACATGTACTTTTTTTTTGTGATAATGTTTGAAATCTGTGATGAAAAACAAACACATCCTAGAAAATGTATTGGAAAAATGAGTTATTGTACTCCACATTGTAAAACACAAGACAATTGAAGGTGCCTACCTGGTATCTCCGTTTGTTTTGAGAGACTATATGACGCGCTTTAACCTGCATAGCCTTCACCGCGCTCCGAGAAGAATCAACTAGCCCTTTTGTAAATGATTCAAGAACAGCAAATTGCTGATTCCCTGTGTTGTCTTTAACATCCTTGTTTTGTGGAGAATCCACCGAAGACATCTGTGAACCAAACCCTCTTGTAAAACGGGAAAATGCCGACATTGCAGCATTTCCACTTTGACTATCTTGAATTGTTCCCAAGGACTGCTGTAGTTTCAGGGCCCAAGATGATGTTGTCGGGGGAGTTGGCTTTGACGCTAACTCATGCATATTATTGTCTCGTCCAGAGACGTCAGGAGCAGAATGTTCAACATTATCAGAAGCTTTAGCAGAAGGCTGAGAGGGCGGATTAGTAGATTCAGAGTCCATCCTGTCAATGGAAAATAGGTCTTAAGACTGATAGAGATGCATTTCTAGTAATGCATCATGTATTACCACTAACAAAAAGAAAACAAGTAACCAGTTAACTAGACTCTTAAAATCTTAGAAAGGTAAGAAGACACGAAGGGAAGAATAAGAAAAGGCTCTTTGTTTTCGCATAGAAGCTTGGTTATGGATTAAGCACCCTTAATCTTTTACTAACGAGAGCAATAAAATAAAATAAAAAATGACAAATAAACACACAAAATTTATAATTGTTCACCCTTCATATGAGAGCAACGTCCACATTCATTCGCTGCAGAATTTTACAATGATAAAGGAAAAGATTACAACAGAATCACACACATTGCACCTCTCGAACTCACTGTGCTGGAAAGGTAGTTCCATGAAGAGCTCTGATACGAAAAACATTTTACAATGAATATGACTGTTACATCATGACCATGATTACCATTTCCATACAAAAAAGACTATTGGGGCCATAGTTAAACCTGGTTTTTATTTATTTATTTATTTATTTTTTTGAGAAGATATTTAAACCTGTTTTGTTGTAAGATTAATCGGAAAAACAAACCCCAGAAATTCATCCTTCAATATAAGTTGACATAATGAATTTCACAAGTAACAGAGATCTGAGCAAAAGAAGACTGGTTTTTGAAATAATAATACGACATTCCAAAGACCCGTGAAGAAGGAACATGAACAGTATTATTAAATCTACTTGCATTATTGAAGTGCAAGTTTCCCATATAGTAACGTGTCATTAGACGTTAATTAAGCGCCTAAATAAAAACATAAATATGTAGATCCAGAAGCGAAATGAAGCAATTTAGGATCTAACTTACAGAAATGGGTTCGATCTCTCTGAGCAAAATGATTCAAAACTAGTTGTGAAATATTGCTGAGGGAGAAAGGTTGCAGTGACCCAGGTGGGTTTTCCGTCGGATCTTTAAAACGGACGAAATATTTGGCTTGTTTTATGACATTATTGGTTTTATTTATGATGTGATTAACCCAGATAAGATAGGGATACGTTTGGTTTATGGATTAAAATTGCTGAGGGAGAAAGGTTGCAGTGACCCAGGTGGGTTTTCCGTCGGATCCTTAAAACGGACGAAATATTTGGCTTGTTTTATGACATTATTGGTTTTATTTTTTATGAGATTAACCTGGATAAGATACGGATACGTTTGGTTCATAGATTAAAACTATATGATTAAAATTATTCTTAATAAATCAGGAAATTCCTGGGTTAAATTATGTGATTAAAATTATTTTTGATTTATGTGTATTTTTTGTGAGAGAAAATACTGTAGTGAACCACGAACCATGATTCGAATCATGAAATGAATCTAGGTACCAAACATCCCTGTATCCGGAAAAAAGATAACATAACACACGGAAATTCTGATTGAATAAATCGAAAATGATTCTAATCACATAGTTCTAATCCATGAACCAAACGTCTCCTAAGATTACGATTTCGACAGCATCATGGTTCTGAAATTAGTCACAGAATTAGGACTATGTAGTTTGTTGATTCGAATTTTTA